TTGGAGTTGTATAGTTTGTCCACTAGAGGGCGCTCTACACCGTTCCTGTTGGCAACACTCGTTGAGTTGGTCACGATACATACGTTGCTTGAATAACAATTAAAAGATCATCCCCATCAGTTCTCTAAACTCAAATAAGCATGACACAATTTGTGACTATCATGCCCAGTTTAAAAAATATATAAATAAATAAAATATCGGCCGATATATATCGGAATATCGGATTTTAAAACCCAAAAATATTTGTATTGGTATAGGTCCCCATCAGTTGTCTTAACTCAAATAAGCATGACACAATTTGTGACTATCATGTCCAGTTTAAAAAAATAAATAAATAAATTAAATATCGGCCGATATCCGGAATATCGGATTTTAAAACCCCAAAATATTTGTATCGGTATCGGCTTTCAAAATCCTTTATCGGTCGGGCTCTACTCTTCATAGACCTAATGCTGTTTATACTGCACAAACTGTATATTCTGTCCCCTTACACTAACCCGACCTCTAAACGTACCCATCACACACACACACACCTGCATGTTTACATTTAAAAAAAAACCCTTAACTTTTATATCAGATTTACAGATGAGGACGTCCCTAAAGGGAGTTTTTGGGAGATTTTGTCCAAATTTAACCCCAAAATATAGTTAAGTAAATACAGACACACACACACACATTTCTGTATGCATTTTACTCATTTTGATTCACTATCAATGGCAAATTATTTTTTATAAAAACAAATATTTGATCAACAAAAGTTTTACTAAAATAGTTTGGAATAATAATAAAAGTCTGTCTGATACGCCCTTCGACTCCGTCATTGTGTGTGACGGTAATGACACTTTACGAAAAGGTCCTAATAATTAACGTTAGTTAATCCAAGTTAGTTCCATTATATAACGTTAACAAAAGGTTAGACTTTATTTTAAGGTGGTGTAGTTGCATTATACTTACTCAAATAAGCACTGAGTAATAATAATAATCAACTAAATGTACACTGTTAGACCTTACCAGGTTTTTTACAGTAAAATACTGGCAACACTGTTGCCAGTAATTTACTGTAAAAATGCACTAAAACTCAAGTTAACTAAAAAAAATACAACTTACTAGTTTTACTGGCAACAGTCTTGCCAGTATTTTACTGTAAAAAACCTGGTAAGGTCTAACAGTGCACTTACTATGGAGTTATGGTTAGTTACTTGTATTTGCATATTTACTATTCTTACTAGAGTACATACATGTAGTAACACATCGCTTTAAAATAAAGTGTTACTGATTTTTCTTGATTAAGAAGTCAAAATGTATAATTTCCTCCCAGGTAAAAGTATTCTCTTCTTTAAAAGCATTAGAGGGCTGATATTCTGCACAGTTTTAGTTCATGTTGAGCACATCTGATCCGCTGTACCAGCTCTATCTCTCCTGTAGAGGGCAGTCTAGTGTATCAATAAGCGGATTTAAACCAGAGCATTTCTGTGCCGGTCCTCATCTACCAGCTAGTGCGAGACAGAATGCATTTATAGTTGGTGTTCTGCCCGTACGCTGAACACACACACACACACACACACACACACTGAAGGTCACGGGCTCTCTCGTTGGACTGATACACCATCTTCTCCTCTAGGCTGGCCAACTCTTGCTTCAGGTTCAGGATCTCGTTCTGGTGGAGCTCCGTAAGATCGTTCACCTGCTCCTCCACACGCTCACATCTACAGGACAACACACACACACTGAGTCACTCACTGTACACACACACACACCTGCGGTCACAGGTTTGGGTTGGGAAGATTTTCGAAATCTCTTCTGCCTATCAAGGATGCATTTATTCGATAAAGAAATGGTAATATTGTGAAATATAATGACAACTTGAAATAACTCTATGTGAATATATATCTATATATACATAATAATGTATAGTAATGATGCTGAAAATGCAGCTTAGATCACAGGAATAAATGACACTTTAATATATAAGGGTTAGTTCACCCAAAAATGAAAATTCTGTCAGTATTTACTCACCCTCATGTTGTCCCAAACCCTCTGTGTGTTTATTTGTTCTGCTGAACACAAATGAAGATATTTGGAGATATTGGATATTTAGTCAATGGGGAATGAGATCTGTTTGATTAAAACATTCTTCCAAATATCTTCATTTGTGTTCAGCAGAACAAATAAACACATAGAGGTTTGGGACAACATGAGGGTGAGGAAATACTGACAGAATTTTCATTTTTGGGTGAACTAACCCTTTAAAGTGTAATTTATGCCTGTGATCTAAGCTGCATTTTCAGCATCATTACTCCAGTCTTCAGTGTCACATGATCCTTCAGAAATAATCACACCATACTAAAACTGTGTTTGACCTCCTTGTGAGTGAGTGTGCAAGCAAGTATCAGTGAGTTTGTGAGTGTGTGTATTAGGGCTAGGTAATAAATATCGATTTCTCGATATTAATCGATTCTCATTTTTACGAACCGATATCGATTCTTAAGTCTCAAGAATCGATTATTCATCCTGTTTCATTTGAATGAATGGGACATTGTATCGCGGCTGCGCGCATCCAAAAAAAATCGCAATAATCTTCGTCCTTTGTTACTATTGATATGAAGCAAAGTCTCAATTTTCAAATTACGTCCATTTTCTTTAGAAATTCAAAAACATAAATAGCGTTTTGTCGCTGTGGCGTGAGATCGCTCTGGAGAAGCAGCAGCGCTGATCTCTCTTCCGGCTTAATAATACCAGTCACAGCGCCAAATAAACATGAATGAGCATCTGAAAGTGTGTTAAAGATAGAGTACAACTTATCCAAATCCGTATCGTGTCACATTGATTCACTCAATCAGCGTTTCAACCGTGGAAAGACGTCAGTTAAACAGCTTGTAATCAATGTATCGTCATATTTACCTCAGAAAACCCACATAAACTCGTTAGTCAGCTGAAAAAATTTTGGAGCATTTTGCTAAATATATAGCCACCATTTAAATGTTTATATTTCATATAATCTTCTTATTATAAAAATAAATAAAAGTGTAATTTAAGTGATTCATTCATTATTACCTTCATATTAGGCTAATGAAGCCTAGTAGGCCACAACTAGACTCCCATAGTTTACAGGATTAGTTCAGAGATTTGATTCCCTTGAGAAAAAATGTCATTTATTGTAACTGATATCCAAAATAATCGATATTGAATCGAAATCGAATCAAATTGCAAGCTTGTGAATCGAAATCGAAATGTGTGTGTGTGTACCTGAACCTCTCCTCCTGCAGCGCCTGCATCATCAGCGTACACTCCTTCAAGCACCCGCTCTTCAGCTTGTCCAGGGTCTCCTCCAGCCGAGCCTGAGTGTCCCGCAGCTCCTGCACCTCCTGCAGAAGCACGTCCCAGCCGCGGCCCCTCTCCAGTGTGTTCCCTCTGGAGCTCGGAGGACCTCCGGGGGCTCCCGTCACACTCGAGGCAGCGCTCGAACAGTCCTCGTCACTCCCGAACTTCTGCAGGAGCTCCGCGCCGGATCCCAGAGAGCGCTCGGGTTCGGTCACGCCGTCCTCGAGGACGCTGATGTTATCCACGCTCCCGAACCGGTGGCGGATCAGTGACGCGATCTCGCGGGGTTTGGAGGCCACGGCTCCGGCGGCAGAGTGTGTGGCGTGGGAGAAACTGGACAGGCCTCCCTTCACGCTGTCGACCACTCCCTCGCTGAGGCCCGTGATGACCCGGGCGCCCACGTCCCGCAGGCCCTGCTGCATGTCCCGCAGGACATCTTTGGGCTGCCGCTGCACGCCGGTGTGCTCCGCCTCGCGCAGGCGGCGGTGGTAATGCTCGAGCTTACGCTGAAGCTGCGCGATGCTCGCCGCCGACTTCTGGTTCTTCTTCTCAAACACCTGAAGAGTCGTTGTGGGGTTGAAAATCAAAACACAGACAAGGATGAGGGGGAGGATTAAAAACGGTAGTCAAGTATAGTCAAGTCAGCGTTAAAAATAGCAAGTAAAACAAGTCACCGAGACAAGTTCAGTGATGTTTCATTTTTGTTCATTTACAGTGATATGAGTTTATAAGTTTTGGCACCCATGCTAAAGTTGCCTAAAAAGAGGAATAAAAAATCATCTTTTGGATATTGCTCTTAATGCCTTAATTAGAAAAATGAGGAAAACTCCAACCTTTAAGAACACCAATTTTCTTTGTGAATGAATAATGTATTATAAATAAATAAATGTTTTTCCTTAAAATACAGGGTGCATAAGTCATGACACCCCTATGTTAAATTCCCATAGAGTCAGGCAGATTTTTATTTTTAAAAGCCAGTTATTTCATGGATCCAGGATAATATGCATCCTGATAAAGTTCCCTTGGCCTTTGGGATTAAAATAGACCCACATCATCACACACCTTCCACCACACCGAGAGATTGGCATGGGGTACTTCAGTTAGCCTAATAGCTGGTTTAATTTGCATTGAAAGATGATCTTATGGAAAGTACCCCATGCCAATCTCTAGGTGTGGTGAATGGTGTGTGATGATGTGGGGATATTTTAATCCCAAAGGCCAAGGGAACTTTATCAGGATGCATATTATCCTGGATCCATGAAATAACTGGCTTTTAAAAATAAAAATCTGCCTGACTCTATGGGAATTTAACATGGGGGGCAATGACTTATGCACCCTGCATTTTAAGGAAAAACATTTATTTATTTATGACACATTATTCATTCACAAAGAAAATGTGTGTCCTTAAAGGTTGGAGTTTTCCTCATTTTTCTAATTAACTTTAGCATGGGTGTCCAAACTTATTCATATCACTGAATATATAAAGCCGCTCTGGAGAAACACGTTGTGGGACCGCTCGTTCGAGGACAGAGGAGAGCGCGGCTGACAATAAAGGTGAAGTTTATGAAAAACAAGACTTTTAAAAAAAGAAAAACCACAAATACATGTTATATTGCACCCCATAAACACAATCATGCAAAGAAAAAAAAGCAGTCAACCCCCCTTTAAGTGAACATAAACGGTTAAGAAAGAAAACGCATGTGTAACGGTATATTGGACCCATGCATTAGCTCTTAAAGTGACAGAAGCCTAATAAACCTGATGTTGTCTGTGTCCTTAACGTTAATCAAAATCACTCACTGCTCTTTACGGAGCAACTTTTGTAACTTTAATAAGGATTAATGTTTAATTTATTCAGAAGGCTATGCAGTGTTATTTTATGTTTCTAGAAAGTAATTTTTATACCTGAAAATTTTGAATTTTCACTTGTATCTAAAATGTTGGTGTCATAACGGTTTCATGGCTGGTAAAAACATTTTATTAAGACACCAGCCATTGTCAGATTTTAAGCCACGAGTCAAACTGTCTCAATGACCACAAATGCACAAAGTATACTTCTGTTTTTACTCATGCATTGGTTACGTGAATTTCAGTACATGCAATACATGTGCAGCCTGGTTTTTCTTACCACATGCACTCTGTCGATCTGTACAATTTGTGCACTAAGTAGTTTGACCACAAAGTGGCAACACTGACCCGGCCCACTGTTTCACAGTCGAGAAAGAAACGATTGAGACAATAAAGTACTGGAGACGTCTCAACAATAGATGAGCATTAAGAGATGCACACAACTGTAGAGTAAACGAGTGCAAAGACAATTTCATCATCGATCACTTACAGAGAGAAACAGCACAAGGATTAATCTTTCTATAGGCAATGTGTCGAATCAAATGGATTCAACTTTGGCAGGCTATGCAATATATTATACACCATATGGAATATATACCAAAAAATTAACACATCGTTTTTATTATAGTAGCGAGAACTAAAAGCTATTGCATTACGGTGATGAAAATCTTTTTTGTGACGTACATCTGTGTAACAAATTTAGGACTGTCAAACGATTAATCGCATCCAAAATAAAAGTTTGTGTTTACGTAATATATGTGGGTGCACTGTGTATAATTATTTTGTATATATAAATACACACACATGCATGTATATTTAAGAAAAAAAATATTGATGTATAAAATATTTATATTTATATATAATATAAATGTAGTATATACATGAAAATATTTCGTAAATATTTACAAGCATGTGTGTGTATTAATATATATATATATATAAAATAATTATACACAGTGCACCCACATATATTACGTATTACACAAACTTTTATTTTGGATGCGATTAACCGCGATTAATTGTTTGACGGCCAAAAACAAATTAGGACAAAGGGGAAAGAAATGAAGGGCGGGACTTGGTTCTGTGTATCAGTTTTTAATTGGATGCTGAGATGTGGGCGTGGCACTGGAAATTGTATGCAGATGAGCGAGAGCTTGCAGGGGCGGGGCTTATACTGACTACATCACTGTCCTCGTTTCTCTGGAAGTTTGAAGGTATGATATTTTTATTTAACATTACAGTCAAAACTTATTTTTTTTTAATGTAAATTATGTACAGATTATTGTTCACAATAAGATCAATAACTTTCATTTTGATGAAAAAAAAGGTACCAATAAAAAATTAGTTTTATTTTCATAAAATATTTATCATTTATTTCTAGAGCATGTTTAAAATTTAACCAAATAATACAAGAAACACAATAAATGCAAATAATAAACATTTGAAAAGTTCAGATGCAAAAGCCTCTAAGTGCCATTTGAAATTTTCTTCTAGAATGATCATTTTTATCAAGCTTGTATATTTAAGTTCAGTAATTTCACTTAAATGGCAATGATAATTACCTATTAATTGTTATTTAAGTGAAATCACTGAACTTAAATATACAAGTTTGACAAAAATCATCATTAAAGAAGAAAATTTCAATTGGCATTTAGAGGCTTTTGCATCTGAACTCTTCATATATGCCAAACCAGAAAAAATAAGTAATAAGCCATCAATAGAATAAAAGAGAAACCCAGGACGACAAACTGTGGAGTGTTATAAGTAAGTCTTAAGATAAATACGGACAGATGGGGCATGCCTAATAAAGGGTTAGGGTTATTTTAATGCATTTTCTAGTTGTTGATTTGGGGTCACATGTGGGCATTTTCCAGACAGGTTTTAAAGACAACAGGGCGCAAGACGCCATGAAAAAGTGAGACGATAAAGACCTGCTTGATGCGGGCGCTCTGCTGCTTGTCGTTGGCATTGCTGGCGAGCTTGAGGTACTCGGCCACGTTGTCGTCCCGGGACGCCTGCTCGATGCGCAGCGTCTCTGTGAGCTTCAGGATCTTCTGCTGCAGCTGAGCGATGGCCTGGCGTGTGCGCTGGGGGTCCAGACCGGCGTCCTCGGGCCCCAGCACTGAGCCGTCGGCCCCGTACGACCCCGCCGGGGAGAGGCCGCCCTCCAGCCTCTCGATCTGCAGGAACACACAGGAAAGAGCAAGAGGAAGAGAAGTCGCGTCAGTTCTTGGAAAATGGGTCTTTGTGTGACTTATTGCTGATGAGGCAATCGCCCGCTTCTGCAATCAGCACACACACACAGAGGCTACTGAAGGTCAACATACAAATCTCAAAAATTACACTTTCTATTTCAGATAAATGCTGTTCTTTTAACTTTCTATTCATCGAAAATATCCTGAAGAAAAAACTCTTTTCAACACTGATAATAATAATAAATGTCTATTGAGCATCAAATCACTATATTAGAATGATGTGTATAGTATATAACACACACGAAAACAGTACTTTATGTTAAGTTTGTGTTTCAGGTAAACTTGTTTAAATCACATTTTTTTAAAAATGGAAATAGAGAGAAACAAGACGAAGATACTCATCTAACAAAAACATAGTTCAGCACAGGATGTACAGGATGTGTCGACCTCATAGTTTAGTTTGACAATCACTTTAGATAAAATGAGCTGAATATTGAGATCAGAAACTGTCTGATCCTTTAGTCCAGATCTGTCTGTGTATATGACATACATATATGAGTAATTATGACTCCTATTAATCAACATAAATCCAACTAGGGGTGTGTAAAAACATCTTAACCGCATTTCTACCTTTTTGAATGTTCGTTAATTACTGATTTCACGCAAGTATGGAATAATTATTAAATGTTTTGGAAACACTTTACATTAAGGTTCATTAGTTACAGTAATGTGTATTTACTAACATGAACAAACAATGAGCAATACATTCATCGTTACTGTACACTTTGTCATCTTTGCTCATGTTGGTAAATAAAAATACAGCTGTTCATTGTTTGTTCATGTTAGTTCACTGTGCATTAACTAATGTAAACAAATACAACTAAAAATTATTAACTAAGATTGTTCTTTTCCCCCCATGCTGAAGTATAGTTCATGTTAACAAAGTTAGTAAAGTGTTACCAATATTTTATATTTATATTATTTTGCATTAAAGGTTAAGATTAGAAGCATGCATTGGAATGCACATTTCAGAGATTACTCAAGAAAGAGTCAAGCTGCCGTAAAGGGAAACAAGACAACACAACACAGGTGCAGCGTGACTGACACACTGACTCATGACCTCACCACAACATCCCGATCCCGAGCCCTGAGATAATAACGCTTCAAACTTTACATTCCCCGGCCGGTGGTCTAATGATCGGCTCAACGTGTAGACTCTCGTCTATTAATGTAAGATCATAACTGTGTCCTGCTCTCACCTTCCCATTGCTCGCGCGCAACAGCTGATCCCAGTGCATTCTCCGAGCGAGCGCGAGGCGGGCGGAAACAGCGCTTCATCGAAAGAGTCGAGTGAGTTCTGAGGTAAACACGCCGCTCCGCCGGTTCCTCTCTCGAGAACTTCCCAAACTGGTTTTGAAGCGTCACTGTGGCAGCTGAACTGGCGGATTAAGCTCCTCCCATCGCCTCGAACCAGCGTGGAGCTTTACACATGATGACATCATCCCTATTGCACTCGCGAACGAATCGTTAACAGAATCGATTCTCTTTAGTGAATCGTTTGAACCTGCCGCATTAATCCTTGAATTCAACTAGACCACACAGGTTTCCGAAATCCGAATCCGTATTTTAATGTAGGATATTCTTCTTAGGCAAGCCTACTTCTGTGATTATTTCTGTTGCGATATCGAATAATTGTACACAGATCCATTTATTCAATGTGAACAACTGATGAACGAATCATTCAGAACTATGACTAGTTGTAGGCTAATTGTAATTGCCATCTTATTTTTATTTATTTTTTTCATTTTACAGTACAGTAAAGTGTACTTACAGTGTACTTTCCTAGAAAGTACTGGCTAATATTAGGTAACAGTTGGAATCACTAAGTACGTATGGCCTACAGGACAGTAAAAGGAAGGAACCATTGAAGAGTTTTGTATGACTCTGTATTTCCCTATTGGTACTGTTATTGTTACTTCAATTAAAAAATAAATAAATAAAAGTTTTACTTGACTTACTTCTCAAATCCAAAAAAAAAAAAATCCTGAAAACAAAATTGGTGAAACTATTGATCTACTTCCATTTTATTTGTAATTTATTTATCTACACAGGAACAATATTTATCTTAAAGTGGATTTTAGCAGCTAGAACAGTGTATATTCCTTATAGAAATAATAGGAAATTAAAGTTTTAATATTATAAAAAGCATTATAAAGGTTTTCATAATGTACAATCCAATGCAATATATCTTTTAATAAATAAGTGTAACCAAAGTTAGAAATGGATTATAATATTTTCAGTTTCTAAAATTGGTTGTTTTCTGTGTGTTTTAATGCATTAAAGGACTAGATAAGTATTATAATGTTTTATAACTCTGTAATTCACAAGCCCATAATAATGACTGCATTAAAAAATACTTTTGTAATGCATTATACAGAAAGGCTTTAAGGAATATAGGAAAACTAAAACATTTAAATTACAACACTGTAATCGGTCGCCTTAAGAGAACCAGAAATACATTAACAACTGGAAAAAAAAAAGAAAAAAAATTATGAATGAAAAAGGACATTAAGCTGTTTTAACAATATTTGCTTGTTGCTGTGAATTCGATTTCGGACCAGGCCATAGATTTGTCCGGTAATGAAGTATTTATGAGTGTGTCACTAAATCATTCATTCAAACCCAACTAAACATTTCAAAGTAATTAAACATTTGAAATAGACTGCGGTAATTAACATTTTGTCAGAACATCTAGTAAATGACATGCTATTTGGTTTATTTGTCTGTTCAGAATCAAAACAGTTTTATCTCTAATCCTAAGGAGTGTTTTCTCACATAATAGGAATGATAAAAGTGATCAAATAAATACTCATACAGTTTAATGTGTATTCAGCAGAATAGGGTTCAGTCAGCCAGACATCATCATAAACATGTTTCCTGCAGGGTTTTCTCATAAAGAGCGTCTGATTGTACATTACGCCTTACATAAGGAATTTGACCAATCTAATGTTGTGCTTTAATTTGTAATGGGCCTTCTGGCTCCAGAACTGGGAGAACTGGTCGGCCAGTGTCACGTGATCGTCCACCCGAACCAGACGGCTGAGATTATCACAGATTACCAGAGCTAGATTCGTCCCGGACTGTAAACACACACACACACACACACAGGAGTGTTGAAATCTGTTGCATTCTGGTTCCTTCAGTATAATAAATCTTGAGGCAATATAAGCTTTAACTGGTGTTGTGTTTTGAACTAGATTCTTTTTTTAGATTAACTTTGTTATAATGTGGTGCATTGGCGAATAATCTGTGATAATCTCGGCCGCCTGGTTCGGGTGGTGTCACCCTCGAGGGCGATCACGTGACACCGGCCGACCAGTTCTCCCAGTTCTGGAGCCAGAAGGCCCATTACAAGCACACAAACAAATTAAAGCACACAATTAGATTGGTCAAATTCCTAAAACTCATAATAGGCGGTATTATGTAAGGCGTAATGTACAATCAGACGCTCTTTATGAGAAAACCCTGCAGGAAAACATGTTTATGATAATGTCTGGCTGACTGAACCCTATTCTGCTGAATATAATAAGACAGAAATAATGACGCTGTGTGGTTGAAAAGACTGTTAGTGAAGCCGTTTCATTATACCTCGATATCTTTCAGATCTGACCGTTCCGGTGTGATTTTGTCAAAGGTTTAATAAATAGACACATAATCGTTGTCAATGAATGAGATCGTGAGGGCGTTTGAATCAGGATTGCGAGCTTTTAACGATGAATCGTGCAGCTCTTCAGTTACAAAAGAACACACATTTATCCAGGTAAACGATAAAACATGTCTGCTCAGAGGTTAAACCATGCTTGCACTCAAACTGTTTTGATGTGTTAATTTAAAATGTGTAATAATGTGTTAAAATCAATCATTTTATAGCTTAAAACTCATCTTTGATCACCAAAATGACATTTAAAAAAATTTCCTCATGCCTTAATGTAACTCGACACCCTCGCCTCATTTAGTATGCATGGTTCTATGAATATGGAAATGAGCCCCGCCCACACTCCCTCACTCACTCAGAGATTAACTGGTGTGCGATCACACGTTGATCTGATTGGTTACAAGGTGGTTTGTGACGTCAGAAACACCAGCGATTTCAAAACGATCTCAACTTCCACATGGTGTGTGTTAAAGTGTATTAATAACACCACATGCACACATAAACAACATTAAAAACTTGACTTTCACCACAGTGGGACTAAAGATGAGCACTGTTAAGTAATAATCAAGTTCGCTCAAATATTTCGAAGGAGAAATAGGAAGCAGAGGGTATGTAGAATTCAAAGAAGGATGAGGATATTAATTCTACAATGAATTTTGTTGGATCTGTTGCTGGTTCCTGATCTGATCTGAATCTTTCCAGTACAGAACAGGAGGTTCCTATGGAAGCTTGTTTCCACCAAGAAAATAAAAATATTTTTCCGACTTTTTATCTCTCAATTGCGAGATATAAAGTTGCAATTCTGATAAATAAAGTCGCAATTGCGAGAAATAAATACAGAATTGAGACTTTTTATCTCACAATTTTGACTTTTTAACACATAATTGCAAGTTTATATCCTGAAATTCTGACATCTTTTCTCAGAATTGCGAGATATAAACTTGCAATTGCGACTTTATATCAATCAATTCTGACTTTATATCACACAATTCTGGCTTTATATCTCACAATTTTGAGAAAAAAAAAGTCAGAATTGTGAGATTAAAAGTCGCAATCATCTTTTTTATTTTTCATTCTGTGGCGGAAACAAGCTTTCATAGGTTCCTGCTTAAAAAAAAAAAGTTCTACACCACCATCTCTGAAATCTGAAGGAGCTTCAGATGAAGAACCGAGTGTGTGAGTTTCCAAACTTAAAGTTCTTCGAGAAGTTTGAGGTCTTGCATAAGCAGACCGCAGTCATGATGACCTAAGCCAATCGTGGTTGGTCAATCAGACAGTGTCTTCCAGTCAAAATGGGCATTTTATCAAAAATGAGTGGCGGAAAGTGTGTGTGATTCAATAAAAAACACTAAACACACTAAGATAATGCATTCTTAAAGCTCTCTCGACTGGTTTCCACTCTTAAACTCCATCTAAACCCAGTCAGCTGCCAGCATTTCATGGCATCACACATGTGCATGTTTAAAGAAATGAACAACTGGTGCTAGATTGACTTATCCCTCTTTATAATGGATTTCTGCAAGTAAAACAGTAAGAATGATGTGATCTGATCTCTAACGGTTGGATGAGGCTTTACTTAGGCATTCAATCCCATAATCCCACTTCAGTGTGTCTCGTATCAGAAGCTCTCACTCAGTATTTACATTTACCTGCGGATCAATACATATATTATGCACATTTAGCCTAGTAATTAATGAGAACATTGATGTTTATATACGGTCATGGAAATTACAGGACTGAAAATCAATAAGATCTATTGTCTAAAAATGTTAAATAGAATAAAAGTCATGTATTTTAATTAATATGTTTTTTTCTAAATATTCAACTAAACAAACTAATTTATTTTCATAAAATGCTATTTTTAAACACTATATGTAAAAAAATTATAATATGAAAAAAAAAACACACAAATAATCCTTGTAACTATGGAAAAAGGTTATCTTAAAAAAAAGTTTCCATAGCAATAATGACAAACATGTCATAGAAAATGGGATTTTTAAAAATACATTAAAAAAAAACGTTATTAAATTACACAATGGAGATCAGATTATTCGTGCTTTTCTTTTCTTTTTTTACATTTCTCTCTATCTGTACTTCTTGTTTCTTTATCTAGTATGCATGTAAAAGCCCTTCATATTTACACAAAGGCCAGTTTGAGAAAGGTGGAAATCCTCTTTACTGTTGCTTTAAGGGAGACTGGTGCCACTAACAATGCCTTATTCACCATCAGTGGACAATTACATAACTGGATGTGTTACACTGTTCACAAACACACACACACAGAAAACCAGGATTACTCATGCAAAAACTTTATCGCACTTAACTTTCAAACTACTGCCCTTTATGCCATTATGGCAGTGTGTTGCCATCGCTAATATTAATGTTACTGTTGTGAAACTGAATAAATTCCTGGTTATCTTTGGTCTGGAACCTCTAACGAGTATTTGTGTAAAACAGCACTTGTGAAAGTCTCTTATAAGCTTATAAACGTGTCTGATATTCTTGCAGATATTGTAATAATTCACTCCCTGGTATGCAATTACAACCGTGTACGACGTGGAAATGTCCAGCAGATTGCATCACCCTTTTTAAAATCTGTGATTACGAAATTGAATTTTTAGGTATGTTTTGCAACACTGTTATTTGGCAATAAGGCATAGTAGAATTTTAAATTACAAGCATATCATGTCATAATTAATTCTTAAAAATAATTATGCTTGTATTTAAAAGATATCGTAGATGGTGAAAAAAACGTTATCTCTAATCATTTCGGATAGCTGTATGCTACAATCTGAGCTAACTAAAAAAAACTAAGAATGAGAAATGTTTAATTTTACAGTCTTCAATTAAATACAAGTATATTTAACATATAATTCAAAAGACTTTAATGGCCGTTCTAACACAGTTCAATTCAAATGACTTGTATAATAAAGTGATATCTGATTTGTAACCACTAAAGCCTAGCTCACACTACACGACTTTAAAACGTCGGGCTGAACGGTGCGGTTCACACTACATGACTTGCTCTCTGTGAAATCAGGAGTTGTTGAGCTGTTCACACACACACACACACGACACAACATGATTGACCCGCAACAGGAGGTAACGTGCTAAACAAGCTGACAACAATGACTTTATCTTGTCTACAAACCACGTTTTGTCACGAAAAATCAGGCGATAAAATGAACCGGAAATGACGCGAAACAGCACGCGCGCCAATACCCAGCTTAGAACATGCAAATATGGACGTCAGACAGAAACTAGTGCTGCAAACTGTTTACGCGATGAAAAAACGCAAAAAAAAAAAAAAAAAGATTTGCCTGGTGACCTCAACCCATGCCTTGGTCTGATTGGCTGTAGCTCATGACATCACTGACGAGTCGTGCGACAGCTCTGGATATCTAGCATGCTAGATATTTTTCTGTCCGCTGCGTTGTTGGCTCTTTCATACTAACAGACTGGCGAGCGTTCATCGCCCGCTAATCCCCCGCGATTTGCACGCGATAACACCCTGACCTGTCGGCGAGCTCAACGATTCGCAAATCGGGCTTAAAATCATGTAGTGTGAACTAGGCTTAAAGCGATTTCTCAAAAACGTACAGTTTTTTCCTTAAAACTGCAGTGAACCAAAGACAGTCTCAAAAACACGCTTTGAAATCGCTGGTGTTTCTGACGTCACAAACCACCTTGAAACCAATCAGATCAACATGTGATCGTCAACCAGTGGATCTCTGAGTGAGTGAGTGGAGGCGGGGCTCATTTGCATATTCATAGAACCGCGCATACTAAATGAAGCGAGGGTGTCGAGTTACATTCAGTATTCAGGTCAGGTGACACGGCTGCTAGTCACTTTGATGTCAGCTGAGGAGATTAACGTTACAAAGATTTAACCGAGTGTTTTATTATAGGCCTACATCATAGCACTGTAAAAAAATATTGATGGTTTAACTTAAAAAAGTAAGTAACCTGGTTGCCTTAAAATTTTAAGTTGATTGAACTGGAAAAAGTGAGTTAATACAATGAAGTAGATTAATTTAATCATCAGAAACTCAAAATTATATGTCATCTGAACTAAATAAATTATTTAAGTTGATTTGACAAAAGAAAAAATGTTGTGACTACTACACTGTAAAAAATATTGTTGGTTTAACTTAAAAAAGTAAGTAATCTGGGTTGCCTTAAAATTTTAAGTTGATTGAACTGGAAAAAGTGAGTTAATACAATGAAGGAGATTAGAAACTCAAAATAATAAGTTATCTCAACTAAATAAATCATTATAAAGTTGATTCGACAAAAGAAAATATGTTGTGATGACAAATCTTGCTATAGCAATTACTTGGTTTTGTTTAACTCTGAAACATCAAATGTGGAGTTATCGGCTTTTGCTAAAAAACAATCTTTTTAATAGGCCTACATTACAAAAAACATAGTTTTAATTAACTTTTCTTGTGAGTCAAATTTTGTAAGTCACCTGAGTTATTATTACCCAACTAAAGTTTGATTGATTTATGAAAATGAACAAAAATGGAGTTATCTATTATAAAGGCCAGATAACGTTGAAAGAACGTTTGAGTAATGTTGCCGTTCATAACTTTGAGCGAACCTTAAGAGAACGTTCCCTGTTCTCCCACAGAAGAGAGAAAGTCATAGGTTTGGAACGGCACAGAACATTATGAAAAACATATCGATCAACTGCGGTTTGCTTAAATACTTGGTAACACTTTACAATAAGGTTCGTTAGTTAACATTAGTTAATATGAACTAATAATGAATAGCACATATACAGCACTTGTTAATCTTTGTTAACCCTTTGTGCTGCATTAGATTTTTAACACCGTTGAGTGCATTAAGGACCAAAAATGGCCACATATTAAACATTGCCTAAAATATTATATATTATTATTATTTTCCACTTTTACCAAGTTAAATCTTTTAACCAGCATCAGTCCTCATCATAACTACCAAAAATGTATTCAATTTCAGGATTTTAACCCTTTAATTACCAGTTTTGTTCGCGAAACCATCGATTTGTATAAGAGGAAAAAACACAAAAATTCAATTATTTTCAATAAACTAAATGCAAAGAGAAAACTTTAGATTTGGATCATCACAGTCCCACTTTGCAAAAAATCCCACTTAGCGCGTTAGAGACCAAAAATGGCCACCTATTAAACATTGCCTATTGCCTAAAATAAGGTGCATTTCCACCCATAGGGAATAAATATGTAGTGACGTCATCTGGTGGAATACACTATATAATGCAAATATAATGCTTTTGCTTCAAAATGAAAGGATGTTTGTGCAAAAATCATGTTTCATGTATTACTGACAGCCTCAGATTTAAACAACGTTTTAATGGGTTTCAATGGGCCATTTTTGGTCTTTATGGTGCTGAGTGTTACTATTTGATCTACACAGTGTGTGTTATACATATTTTGCAAAATGGGATCACATTTTTTACATGTATCCAAAAAGTCACAATTTTGCCAAATTTCATACCATTTGCATTAAAACAGGCAAAATGGTCAAAGAAATTAAACTGCAAAAGACCAAAACTGTCCCTAATGCAGCATAAGGGTTAATGTAATTTCTTAACATTTACTAATACTTGACTAAAATCTTGTTAACATTAGTTAATGCACCGTGAACTAACATGAACAAACAATGAACAGCTGTATTTTCATGAACAAATGATGAACAAATGCAGTAACAAATGTATTGCTCATGGTTAGTGCATGTTAGTAAATACATTAACTAATGTTAACTAATGAACCTTATTGTAAAGTGTTACCAAATACTTCATAATACTTCATAAGAGATGCACATTTCAATATTCTGATTTTGCAAAATGTAGAATTTGTGTGAAACCCCGCTGAACTCACGGTGTTGGTCGGGGAGGTGGATGGCGAGGAGTCTGGCGTTATCAGGTTGAGAATGACGTCCATTGGAGAAATCATTGAGCCGGTTTAACAAGACTTCACTTCGGTTCGAGCGTCAGGACGATCTCTGCTACTCCATTACGACACGCAGAGAAGCTTAAACAAGAGCAAATGATATCTTGTCCATGCGAGAGAGATGGATCAGAATAACTCAGGCCTGGACTCTTACAGTACTTTGAAATCTGTCAATGCATCTGAAAAAGCAAGTGTTCTGAACTCTTGCGGAAAGAAAAAGCCCAAAAGCTCAGCGTGAAGGTTTAGTGTGCGAGAGAAAGCCAGAGCCCGTGAGAAGGGTTTTGTCTCGGCTGGAATCTTTTGGCCGACGAAACAGTGTTGGACGACTAATGAGCGAACTCATTCACGGGTTTCAAGAGCTTAGCCAATGAGTTATGTTGACCTACCAACCACAACCAATCACACACACAGATCATAACTGTCCACTGTGTCCAGACTAATGACTGGATTTGCTTTCAGTTACAAAACCATTCATACAAAACAGTGTATTTCCACACAACTGCTGCACACAAAGGTATTGAGCCACTGTGTGTGTGTGTGTGTGTGTGTGTAATGGGGTGCGTAAGAGGGCTGGACGAGAAACTGCCAAAACTCTTCTGAATGGAGAGAGAGAGAGAGAGAGAGAGAGAGAGAGAGAGAGAGAGAGAGAGAATGTACTGAATCTGTGGTTTAGGTGAGAAAAGGCTTATGTAACTCCAGGCCTCATTCAGACTCTTCAGTCGATGTGTTCGGGAGAGAAACAGGCTGTGTCCAGGGGATGAAGCACAGGTTTAAACTAGATTTTCAAGGGTTTTTTGATGCTGAAGCGTTTTGCTCGTGAATGTAAGTACACATTGATGGCCTAAGACACGAAACGAGCGGTTTGTGTGAGAAAACCAACAGTATTTATATCGTTTTACCTCGTGTAATCACAGTGATCTGAATCAGTTGTTCAATGTCCAACTGAACCGAACTGAATCAGTTCAATGTTACGCCGGAAGTGATTTCGGAAGTTTTACCTTTTACTAAACATATTTAGATCGTCTTCCATTGCGGTTTCCCGTATATCTAAATATGTTTAGTGAAAGGTAAAACTTCCGAAATCTCTGAATAAACAAAGAGTGACGTCGGCGCGCAAGCGATCATTTCTGGACCGAAGCGCCCGTGCCGTCAGATCATTTTGTCATGGCTATGATTACAAGAGGTAAAAACGATATAAATACTGTTGGTTTTCTCACACAAACCGCTCGTTTCGTGTCTTAGGCCATCAGTGTGTGCTTACATTTACGAGTCATTAAATCATGTTTAATTTGGACTTCTCTGTGCTGCTCTTTGAGGTGGACCCCCTTTGCCTCCAGTGTATGACTGATAGACAACAACGGTTTGACTGAAAAATATCAAAATTGAAAATACTGTGGAAACAGACACCTACATCTTGGATGCCCTTGAGGTGAGATAAAACATATCAAAAATTAATTTCAAAGTGAACTATCCCTTTAAAGGAGCCGCAACTTAAAAACTGATCATTTCAGACAGAGGCCCAGAATGAAAGCTAATAATTATTCAACATACATATACGTATATATGAAGAGTTCAGATGCAAAAGCCTCTAAGTGCCATTTGAAATTTTCTTCTAGAATGATCATTTTTATCAAGCTTGTATATTTAAGTTCAGTAATTTCACTTAAATGGCAATGATAATTACCTATTAATTGTTATTTAAGTGAAATTACTGAACTTAAATATACAAGTTTGATAAAAATCATCATTAAAGAAGAAAATTTCAAATGGCATTTAGAGGCTTTTGCATCTGAACTCTTCATATATATATATATACAGTATATACACACATCACACACCTCATTCCACGAACATTTCCCGCATTAACAAACAGATTGCATTATTCATGTATAACAGATGATGTCATGAGCTGTGGGAATTTTACATTTCTCCTCACTTGCAGAACCAGTTCATTCTGATCATCATCATCATCATGAGGACTTTACATAAGCGTAATGGTTTTATACTGAGCTAATCATATTTTCTATCCCCTACCCCTAAACATAACCCTCACAGAAAACGGTCTGCATTTCTACATTTTTAATAAAACACTGTTTAGAGATTTGAATGACATCGTGACTGAAGAGAAAGATCCAGAATGAGTGTGTTTTTGATGAGTGTGCTGTGTTTCTGGAGTGCATTACATCACTCTTTGTTCAGTCTTCATCCGAGATCGGACCAATGAATGACTCGAACATCTCACTCATACACACACAAACAGTCATCAGAGGTGTTCAGTGAGATTCACCCTACTGTTATCTTCATCGAGATTAAGAGCGTTAAACCAAAACAGTGTGTGGTGTGTTTCTGGATCAAGAGGTTGTTATGGGAATATTCTGCGGTCACATCTCAGGGATTAGACTATTTTAAGCAGAAACATGTAATGTTCCTCTCAGTAGAGTACAGAACATCCCGAGCTGAAGTAAAACCACAGTCATGTAAAGATCTGTACAATAACATGCAACATTTCCTGGTTAGAGCCTTTAAAGGGATAGTTGGCTTTGAAATAAATGTTTGGTATGTTTTATCTTACCTCAAAGGCATCCAAGATGTAGGTGTCTTTGTTTCAGCAGTATTTTCAATTTTGATATTTTTAGGTCAAACCGTTCTTGTCTGTCAGTCATATAATGGAAGTCTATGGTCACCACCTCAAAGAGCATGCACAGAGAAGTCCAGATTAAACATGATTTAATGATTCGTAGATGTAAGTACACATTGATGGCCTAAGACACGAAACCAGCGGTAATTCATTTCGAAGTGAACTATCCCTTTAAAGCAAAAGTGGTACCAGGAACACACTGCATCTGTGGCGAGTAGGGACGGGCAACGATTAATCGTGATTAATCGCATCCAAAATAAAAGTTTGTGTTTACGTAATATATGTGTGTGTGGTGTGCATAATTAATTTGTATATATAAATACCCACACATGAATGTATATATTTAAGAAAAATGTGTTATTAATATATCAAATATTTATATTTATATATAATATTAATTGTGAATAAATATATTTTAAATAAATAATTGGAATAAATATAATTTGAATAAATAATATTAATATATGCTTTGATGTTGTCTTGGCACAAATGATATGGTTTACTCTGTTTAGGGAGGAGTGTGTCACCTTTTGGGAGTCTTATATGAATGAATGTCTTGTTTGGTTTTGGCTTATATATTTAGCTACTGTATGTAGTACTACTGTAAAGCATGTTTTTTTGTTTTGTTTGTTTGTTTTTCTTGTGTATTTGTTGTTTGATTTTTGCTATTTGTTATGTTAAATTCCAGCTGCTGTAAGGTAAATTTTTTATTTGAATCTAGAATCGAGGACCCCCTCGAAAATGAGATGGCTCATCTCAAGGGGCTATTCCTCTTTAATAAATGTCAAATATATAAAAAATACACATGCACATATTTCTTAAATATATACATGCATGTGTGGGTATTTATATATACAAATTAATTATACACACTACACACACATATATTACGTAAACACAAACTTTTATTTTGGATGTACCTATTAGTTGTTCACGGTCAAAACACAGGTAAACCAAGCCAACGTCACATATTAGAATACTGCACAATGGCGCCGCCCTGATGGCGAAAGATATTACTTTTTTTCTTTTTTTGTCTTTTATATGTTTACATTTGTCATGTTTCTTATATAATTAATGATTATTGTGGAAATCCATCTTGTAAATCATGTAAACTTGATTGACTGCTTCATTTCCCCTTTAAAGTGTCATTGCAGTGCATAGGGGAATATCAAAATGTCATGTGCAAACAAGCTTTTCTCAGAGCAAACACACACACACTCAAGCCCTAACCCAGGACAGGTGCGGAGAAACAACACTATCGTCACACACTGTCTTCTACACACACCCGCTAGGGGGCGCTGCTGTCTTCACCAAAACAACACACTACAGCAGCTCACACTACTAGACACATCAGAAAATAAAAAAATCATAATTATGAGATAAAGTTGAAAGTATGACATACTAAATCATAACTTAGATTAAATATTGAAATTGTGAGATAAATTTGACGTAGTGCGTCATATTTTCTTTTCATCCTATAAATATGCCATGATTACATTTACATTTTACATTACATTTTAAGTTACAATTTCATATTATGACTTTTCATCTCATATTTTCGATGCTTCAGCACATTGTAACTAACCCACTGATGTCACATGACTACTTTGATGACGTCTTTATTTCCTTTCTGGACAAGGACAGTATACCGTACACACATTTACAATGAAAGCTCTCGGACTAAATCTAAAATGTCTTAAACTGTGTTCTGAACATGAACGGAGGTCTGACGGGCTCGGGATGACATGAGGGAGAGTCATTAATGACATCATTTTTGGGTGAACTAACCCTTTAACCATGGTATTTTTAGCCAAAAAACAAGGTTACTACACTTTTACTATAATAAAACCATGGTTAACTTTCAGAAGGGAAATTTAAAAGTGGTTCTCACTATTTGAAAGGCTCATTAATAACCCAAATCATGTTATGCTTTAAGTGTGTGTGTGTGTGTGTGTGTGTGTTTGTGTGTGTGTGAAAACATCCTCACATCCCAAAATAAGACAATCCTGAGAGAATAAGAGGAGTAAAAAACAGGAAACATGACTCAGCTGGACACATCAATGAAAACACACACACACACACGGGGTTAGGGTTTGGTTTAGGGTTAGTTGATTATGCGTAATTTCATGTTATATTAAGCACATGTAACATTAACAAGGACACATATAATAAAGTGTTACCGAAGTGCTAAACTGGGTGAAGTGGATGTAAGCACCACCTTTCAGTCAGCTAAAAATGTTTTTTTAATTGTCAAGGAGATGTCAAAATAAAGACAGAAAGAAAGAGCTAGATCTATTTGCAATTAGTTTAATGAAAACAAAATCACAGTTCTCAGTTCTCAAAACTCAATAAACAGAACAGCCACTCTGAAAATGGACAAGATTTGACAAAGAACAACTGAAAACGAGGGACAAAACGAGATCATTCACAAGACAGTTGAAAAACACGAGGGCAAATCAAAAACCCTGGAAACTAATGAAAAAAAGAAACATGAACCAACAGAACAGTAAAAATCAAACAAGATAGCAACTTAAAAAATCTCAAACCCAATTTGTCTCAATTGCTATTTTAATTCAAAATTATTTAACCCTGTGGGGTTGTTCGTTTCAGAGTCACACTTGGGGTGTTCGGGTCCAAATGGACCCAAAGGGCAGGATTGATATTTA